AGATGGCTACCAATCTGATGTTAAAATCCGGGCAAAAGTAACTCAATTAGTTTAGTGTTTCTTTAGATATTAAAAGTTTTGTGTGATGGAAAATTATGCTGTTAAACCCGGTATATAGATACAGGCTATGTAAGAAGATGTACACGTATTAACTCTAAACCTACAACAATCTATAATACCAGGAATCAGAGAAACTTTGATGATGAAGAAGATGAAACACCAGACCATCGACTTGATGTATGATCGTACATGAATGAAACCTTACCAAGTATTGATCCCAAGATCAGATTTTGAAGAATACCCTTCTCTTTCAATGGATATATAGACTTTTCCTTTTAAAGATAAAGTCAACGCTAAAAAGACAGTAACGATCGTTGACATGAAAGGTTACATAGAGCAAGAATACATCTAAATATCCATCAAATGTTGATTGTTGTTTCTGTTCTTAATTGTATCACATTGTCAAGAATATATAACGATTTTCGGATCATACCCGTCTGCTATATTGGCTTGCCATTCCATGTCGCATAGCCAACCTTTGGTTTATTGAGCGGCCCTTAGTTATCGTTTCTGGGGGAGCGTGCATAAATTGTCATTATCAGCAATTTCAACAACGACAACAGACTGCCTCGGTCATGGTAACGTATGGTATCGGGCTATTCTGAAAAATATATATTTTTTAACAAAACGCTTGTTTTGGGCCAAGGAGTGGTATATTTTTCAGACATATTCAAACGATTCTGCACGCTAACATGTAACATTAAGAAGTCACCTTCATGACATCCTTCCACATACGAATCTCCCGCGCTTTGCTGCGTGTCACAATTTGTTTTTGTTTTAAGATTATGATTGATTTTAAATCATTGTTATAATTTTTGGAGAAAAAGGATGCATTTCAATATTACTCAATGATCTTGCCGATGTGATCTCCATCTTCTGGCTTTCTACTTCTATATATATTTATATATATATATATATATATATATATATATATATATATATGTGTGTGTGTGTATGTGTGTGTGTGTGTGTGTGTGTGTGTGTGTGTGTGTGTGTGTGTGTGAAAATATCTCCGATTTAACCAGTAGAGAAGACAATATTTATGAATAAATATGACAAAAGGAAAACTAGTAATTGCTGACGCGTTTCGTCCTAATGTGGACTTTATCAAAGCAAAATATCTGTGTGTAAGTTTTTGTTTTCCATGTCGACACATATGAAAATGTCTCCGATTTAACCAGTAGAGAAGACAGTATTTATGAATAAAAATGACAATGAGAAAACTTTTGCCATCGTGACTTTATATGACTTAAGGGCTTTAAATACATTTAGAAAATGGCAGAACAATCAAACAATATGTCATCAAGTACTAAAAAGTTCAAATGCAAAAATAAACCTGATTCCATTGGTTTTGTATGTGGAAATTTTACACTTACAAATAAACGACTTTGTAAAAAGATCTTATTTAGCTTCGTTTGGCATAAAACTGGCGGTGGGGTGAAGATAAATCGCGGGCTTCACATAAAGCCTACACTATATGTAGTGAGAGTCTTCGATATTGGCCGAAGGATACAGATTCAAAAATACCTTTTGGTGTTTATAAGGTACGTTTATTTTATTACATAATATATATATATATATATATATAGCCAACCACATTCGCTGTATCACAGAGAGGAGCTATGGTTATACTTCAGATTGCTTCAAGCCTGGACCGAAACCCAAATAATTTGGCATCAGTCAGATATCTTACCTCTAGGCCATCGTCTCACGTCAGAAAAGAGCGGAAGTTAAAGTTTTCCTCTATACGAAATACGCCAGCGGCTCGGAGAGCTCAATTCATACTTGGAGTGTAATGCTTAATGGCAGTAGGAGCCGCTGTTTTTTTTGTAATTTATTTCCCTAGATCGGATCTACGGGGGCACGTATATATAGTCATCTACAGACAGACTGTTTCGCTGTTTCACGGCTCTTCAATGTAGCTAGAGGCCCTACTGTTTCAAGCCGGGATCGAAACCCGACTGATTTGACATCTTACCTGTAGGGCATCTTTGGCGACAATGGCTCTCTACTACCGAAGATCGTGCCCACCCTCCATTATAACTCTCAGCAAACGTTTAACTTTTTACTACCTGTTCTTGGGTATATATCTTTCCTAAAATCTTTAATGAAAATAAATAGTTTAAATTATTTGAATAACATTATTTATTATTATACAGCTAAATTTATAAAATTATATATATATATATATATATATATATATACATAATTCTAAAAATGTCTGTGTATGTACGTCATCGGATATTGTTTATGCATTTTCACAGTTTTCATCCGATTTCGATTAAATTTTTGTTTGATAGATAACTCTTCAGTGCCGGTTGTGAGTTCAAATTGTTGACAAAAATGGCTCTCCGCTACTTCCTGTCCATTATATCTGTCAGCAAAGTTTTACTATTTACTATCTGTTCATGGATATATATATATATATATATATATATAATAAAAAATCTTTAATAAAAGTAAATAGTTTATATTATTTTTTATTGTACAGTCTCTTCTTCAAAATTCTAACCCCTCCCCCATTTGGCGATGTGCCTCAGTTGCATACAAATGGTGTTACTAATAATGATTTACGGGTGGGCTAACTTTTAACTTCAACTGCTCCAATATATTTCTTTTTTGCCGTTCATTTGTAGCAGTTTAAGTTAAAAGTTATCAACCTCCACGAAAAATTTCTATTTCGTAGGACCAAGAACTTGCTAGTATATACATACATAGATAGATATACGTTCTTTTTATAGATTCAAATATTTAAGTAAATGCTCTGTTTATAATAAACAGTATTAACAACATTTACCGGTCTGAAAGTCCGAGAAATTTTCATAGAAAATATGCATCCTCGGACAGGAATTGAACCTGTATCGTATACGGAACCGTCATATAGCCTGACGCGTCGTAACCGACTGAGCGACAGGCTACATGACTGTTCCGTTTATTTTCTGGGTATATCTTAGAGGAATTTTAGTCCTCTAAGATATACCCAGAAAATAAATTGATAAGATCTGGATCGAAACCAGTCGTTTTAGATTTTAGTTAAAATGCCATCAAAAACTTACTTATTCCTTGCTCTCATATATATATATATATATATATATATATATATATATATATATATATATATATATATATATATATATACACACACACATACACACACACACACACATATACATACATATATATATATATATATATATATATATATATATATATATATATATATAAAGACTTATCAAATAGAAAAATCCATGGATTGAAATTTTTACATATATATTGAGTGAGAGAAGAGATTTTATAGATATAGAAATCAACATTGCAAAATTTTTCTCTCCCTACAAGACTGCGTTAGTGTAAAATATTTCATGAAATCAAAAGAAAACTGTGACTTGATAAGTAAACCTATTTGATCAGTCTTTTTAAAAAACTTGCAATGCTGGAGATCACTTCGGATCATTCAATATCAAATCATTTAATATTTCCCTTCTTAAACTTTTATTAAATCTCAGTCAGTGACACCTTTTCCCTTGGGATAAATCAATTATGAATCTTTTATGTTTGAGTCAATGAAAGGTCGAGAAATCATGCTACAATGAATTTCAAATGGAAAACTTAAATTTTTAATGCCACAATTCGCAAGCAGAATTTTCTTGACGGTGGCAATTCATAAGACATCAAGTTGAAGTTATATACCGCTGTAGTTTTCCTCTTCAGCCATTTCTTTTTCCTTATCTCTATTCTGGCTGGAAAGTTCTAGGTCCTACGAAATGGAAAATTGTTTTCGTGACAGTTGATTAATTCTGAGACAGTCGTAGTAACTAAATCACAGGCGTTAAAATGAGAATTTCATATGTTTAATTATAATTTATAATTATATATTTATAAGCATTTAAAACTGATACCTCTACTTTGGTCATAATATAAGCAAAAAGGCTCAAACTCTAGCTTAACAAATGTATATATATATATATATATATATATATATATATATAAAATGATAATTGTAAAAATATCTTAGATTTTGCCCGACGCGTTTCGTCCTTCGACTTTTTCGAGGCAAAAATGAAATCGAAATAACCAGAAAAAGGATTAGAGAGAAGCGTCTGTCTTTTTAAATATAGATTTAAATGTAATTATACCAAAAAAGAGAAGACGAAACGCGTCGGTGAAATCTAAGATTTTTTTTTCAAATTTTCATTTTATAACAGTTTGTCTTGTCCACAGAATTGATCTGGTAATTTAGCTATACACATATATATATATATATATATATATATATATATATATATATATATATATATATATATATGTGTGTGTGTGTGTGTGTGTGTGTGTGTGTGTGTGTGTGCGCGCGCGTGTGTGTGTGCGCGAGCGTGTTCGGGTCAGCTAAGTGCTGGTGGGATGAGTAAACGTTTGAAGATCTCGCCCGCCTGAAGTCTGGTAAACGCGCATCAGTAGGTATTCTTCCGCCCCTCCTGTGAATCAGGTAGAGTCGCCTATTTTGTGTCGGATGTAAAACCACCCGACTTGCTACGGTGACAAGGGGTTTAAAAACGGACAACCAATCGGGTAATGATAACTGTGAGAGCCAGAAAGAATGTGGTTGCTGCAAAAGAGTCTACAAGTCAGCCAAGGGATGCAAGATACGCCAGACCAAGATGAAATGTGGCGGTGATTCCACGACAAAGAAGCGCACAGGAGTCTTCCTAAGTCGGGACCAAGATGAAGACCACAGTATCCTGCAGGATCATTTTTGAAACCTGAATCCAGTCACCGAACTATTTAATGGCCTACTTCTGTGGATAGGTCTTGGTCAGAGATGGATGAAGACTTATAAATAGCCATCCATACACTAAGGGGTGATCCAGTAAAGACAGACCGCCAGCTTGGAGACATGCTCAGTGGATATGGGGTAATAAATTTTTGATCGAAGGAAGTGAAAGCTAAGCCCTTAGCTCCAATGCAGGAAAGTTGGCGGCGGGGAACGATCTGCTCACTGAGGAAAGAGATGTGAATATTACGAGCAGTAATGCATGTTGATGGGCAGAGGAAATCCAACCAATCCTGGAAGGCATATTAAGCGCATTGGAAAGTTGAGTAGAGCAGAACGGCTTGCCAAAAATAGAAAGAATGCTTCCAGGGCCCGGAAGTCCTTCACGGAAAACACATTCCGCTTCACGAAGTAGTTGTTTAGGGAGAAGACTACCGGAACGTTGAGCGGGAGGAGCTGGAGAGAGAGAGAGAGAGAGAGAGAGAGAGAGAGAGAGATTATGAACACGTAATCTGATGCTAACAGAGAGGTCTCAGTGGAGGTGATGCCATGTTTATTCAGGCACCCCTAAGTAGCTTTTCATGAGTCCCCGTTAATTGGAAGGAGGTCCAAGGAGTTATATAGGAGTTGAGAGCGTTTTCTGCGGTTGGTCCTAATAGTGTGACATATGCTGTCTACAAGAGGTGTCCCAAGCTGCTGAGGTGTATGTAGAGGCTTCTTGTGAAGATTTAGGAAGCTGGTGATGTTGCGGGGTGTTGGTGTCCAGCTGATGGTGTCCAGCTGATGGTGTTTATATACTGAAGGAGGGGAATTCGTTGACTGTTAGTCAGTTTCGTCTAATCTCTCTCGTGAACGTTGAGAGAAAGGTGTTCTTTAAGGCGTTTGCCAGGAGGCTGACGGTCTACTTGTTAAAACATAACTACATAGATACTAGTATTCAAAAAGGCAGGAGTCCAAGTTTTCCCGGGTGCTTAAAGCCTGTTTCAATTATTTGGGCAAATATTCGCAAGGCTGAGACTGCAAGGAAGAATATTCACGCCATCTGGCTGGATCTCCATAATGCGTACGGTTCAGTCCCTCATAGCATGATACAGCTAACGCTGGAGTTCTTCTACGTTTCATAGAGACTCGGCAGTAGCCTTGGTATGTAAAGATTTTCCAAGCGTAGTTTAGATGTGGCATAGGGCCGAAAGCATGGGGCATCCAGTGAAGATCGAACTCACTTTTCAGTAGTAACTGACATAGCAAGACAAGCTTGCTAACCATTACACCACGCCGAGGTTCCCAAGGTTTGGTATGTATTCCCAACTGTAAACTCACGTCACACACACTATATTCCATCACCTACCTTTATTGAACCCATTCTTAAAGAAACAAACATATACTTTTTTCTTATAAAACAAATAGTACGTAAAAACATTCCTGAATTAACAGGCGATAAACCAACAATCATAATCTCTATTAGACATAAACAGAATATACATTGTCATCTGAATCCTACATTGACAATCTAGAATTATTAGATTCTTACATACATGAAACAATACAGTATTTACATTATTCGGATTATTGTCCTTATCTTTATATATATAAAGGAGACACGGTGGAGTAATGGATAGCGGCTTGGATTGAGGAATCGCAGAGCCGAGTTCGAATTCCAATCGAATCCATTACATTCACTTACGTGCTAATACTATTGGGAAAGGTATGAATCCTCTTCCTCTCCCTACAGCTATGGGTAAAATAGCAGGACAGACTGGGTTCTATAGCCTTGGATAGTAACTTGTCTAGGAGAAGGACAACTCTGAATTCAAAACCTGCGGAGGGTCGTTTCGGAACCTCGTGGCATTCGGCGCACCAGGTTTCTGTATTCGTCCCTTCAAAAAGTGTGGATGGTCCTGCACGAGGGCTTCACCACTATAAGCAAATCTCATGGGCCGGTGTCGGGCTGTCGGTTTCCTGGAAACTGATCTGCTTGACCATCATACATTGAATCTCGACGAGAGAGTTGATTATATATATGTATATGTATGTATGTACCTGTGTATATTGGCCATCGGGCTGGGGTCAATATTCAGTATCTGTTTTCCTCATTTTTAATGGAAATATTAGCCGATTCTTAGTAAAGAAATATTCGTCATTCAATGACCGAGCAGCCAATAACAAAATGACTTTGAGTTCACAAAATCTTTCTGTCAAAATAATTCTTTAGGAAATTAGGTTCCTTGTGTCAAGTTACTGTTATTGCTATTTCCCGTGTTGATGGAGTTTCCTTTTTAACCTTTTGTTTGAAGTATCAGGTCACCCCATAAGTTCTGTCCGAATTTTAACTTTTTGTTAAAATGAACCAAATTTAAAGAGTATTTCATAATGTCTAATGGAGATAAACATTATTTTTATGTTTAGATGCATTTAAACCGATCAACTTTTATTTCAACGAATAATAAAATTAAATTTTGTTTGATTAAAACCCTGCTAACATGGAAGTAACCAAGAATCATTTGAGGCACATAATGCTTTATGAGTTCAAGAAAGGGAACTCAGCATCCGAAGCGGCTAGAAACATTCACTCAGTTTATGGAGAGGAATGTGTGAATGAAAGAACTTGTAGAAGATGGTTTGCAAAATTCAGAGGTGGAGATTTTACCCTTGAAGATAAAGATCGAACCGGACGTCCAGTTCAGTTTGATGAAAAGCTTCTTGAAGCATCCCATGAAGAAAATCCCGCTTTATCAGTTGAGGAATTGGCAGTGGTTCTTCGTTCAAACCATACAACTGTTCATCGTCATCTTCAACAACTTGGAAAAGTTCCTAAACTTGGAAAATGGTTGCCTCATGAATTGTCTGAAAACAACCTCAAATCCCGAGTTGACATCTGCTCTTCTCTCCATTCTCGCCCATTTGTTTCACCTTTTTTAGATAGACTTGTGACTGGCGACAAAAAATAGATCTTTTATCGAAATGTTAAATGTCGTAGACAGTGGCTTGGTAAAGGGGAAGGACCCCAGCCACAGCCGAGAAGGGAACTTCATGGGCAAAAAGTTCTTCTTTCAATCTGTTGGGCTCGCCAAGGAATAATCCACTTTGAATTCTTACCACCTAATGCAACAATTAATGCTCAAATATACTGTCAGCAATTAGAGCGTTTCAACCAAGCTTTGAGCGAAAAAGACCTGCTCTTGTGAATCGAAAAGAGGTGATGTTTCATCAGGACAATGCGCGACCCCACACAGCAAGAATCACGTCACAAAAGATCGAAGAACTTGGTTGGGAGAAAATTCCTCATCCACGTTATTCTCCGGATCTTGCTCCTTCAGACTACCATTTGTTTCGTAGCTTACAGAATCATTTGGAAGAAACAGCTTTTGTAACACAGGAAGAGGTTAAAACTGACATTTGTGAGTTCTTCGAATCAAAGCCAAAAGAATTTTACAGTAATGGAATTAGTAAGCTTGTTAATAGATGGAGGGAAATCATAGATAATCAGGGAAAATACATTGTTGATTGAATCTGTAATTAACTGTAACATTTGGTCACTTGTTTTCTTTATTCAAAATTCGGACAGAACTTATGGGATGACCTGATAATTTTTAATGTCCCTATCGTTACTATGTTAAAAAAAAATTAAATTCTAGACACATGAGTTATCGATTTTAATTGGTTTTGCTATTGAAAGTTATATGGCAAAGTTCTTTTTTCTTGTGAGCCTGTAGAAGCCGTACCCCAGGTTATCAAGAAGGAAGGATGATTCTCGGTAAGCTATACAACTTACTATTGCTTAAAGACATTTTTAACCCTTGATATGAGAAAATGGATGTATAGACATCGTAGCTGTTGATCAATGGAAGAATAAATTGTCTAACAGAACAAAGAAAAAACACTATTTATTTGATGAGACCAGTCCAGAGCGGGAAAAGGACACATCTACCTGGGGTTGGTATTTTTATATTCTGCTCACACCATTTTTGCTTAATTTTGTTTCTATCGTAAAGGATCGGTTTCTCTCGCTTTCTCTCTCTTTCAGTGCATTAATAATGGAATTTTTTTTTCAGATACATCTTTTTTCTACCGGTTCGTTTTTAACGAATGGTTACTTCATTTTTCAGAGTGTATATTTTCATTCAAAACAGATTTTTACACCGACCTGGGTATGACGATAAATTACGCCAGGTAGCAAGGCCTCTGATCTGGAGGTTTTGAGGAGCGGAGAACCACCTTATAATTGCTGTTGTTCCCATTTCCAACATGACATGGGGTGATAGTGTATGTTTGGGTCCCAGCTATGGGAAAATAACGAGCCCTCAATCTGGTGTCAAAAGACTATGAAAGCATAAAAAGTACATTTTATAGTAAAACTTTCTGGCAATAGATTTTAATAATAAAAAAAACAGCAATAGAAAAAATTCTAGCAATAGATTTTAATAGTAAAATAAAGTACCAAAGCTCGCGATATTATTACTTTTTAGCATTAAATGAGACATAAGGACATTATATGCCGTTAAAGAAACTAAATCAAATCTTTAAACCGAGATTTTCCTTTCTGAAAACTCTTATTCAGATAACTCAATAATATGGTAAAAACCTTTATCGTAACAACTGAAATACACGCCACGCGCCTCTCTGATAAACATGCTAATGTTGTTATCGAAACAAGAAGGAAGGACAGAATGCCATACAGCAAAAAAAAAGAAAATGACTATGGTGAGATTTGAAGTTGGGTCCTATGGTCGGAACACCAATGTTCTAAATATATGCTACGGGCGTATAACGTATAGCTGGCCACTCCAGGATACCCATCAACTAGGGCGGCTAGCCAATCCTTATTGAAGACGCTTGCTCAGGCGCATTTGTGTTTATTCAACACCCATAGTCTCCACCTGTGGTTTATACTGCAACTATGCTGAGCAGACCTTAGTTATATTTTCTGGGAAAGATCCTGTTATCTAGCGTGATCAACAATTTGAACAAGGCCCCGTACGCTCAAGCCCTCGATGAGTTGTGACTTCGTGCTAGCACACCTATCGACGGCCCCCAAGGGTTTCGTCTACACAATTTTACTCACAAAGTTCGAGTCAACCCGTAGTATGGTTATCAGGCACTTTCCAAAGGTACTGCACGCTGGGATCGAAACCTCCAGTTCGATAACATCTGGAAGTTTCGTTCCTGAGGTATCGACCATGGTGAGATTCGAACCCGCGTCTTATGGTTAGAATCCGAACGTTCTATCCATTCGGCCACGTCTGTATAATAGTGTAATCTTGACTGTCAACTTGGTAAGAGTTTTTTATGTACACTCAATTAATTTTCTTATGTGAAAGAAATTCTGTGTTACCTCTAACTCATTATTAATATTACTGTCTTAATAGTAAGCCTGAAAGGACTTCTGAAGAAAAATAACTCTCCAATCAATTGTTAACGGAGGCAAGAAATTTCACACTTCAAAAATGAAATGAAATTGCTATCCTTTAATTAGTATAGGAAACCATTTTGTCCTCCATCAACATGGCTGATG